TATATATATATATATATAATATAACTTAATTAGCATATATATGTATTAAATAATAATAATTATTATTAAATATGATATATTATGGAATGGATTTGATGTTTTAAAATGCACAAGTTCCCAAGCAATCAACACCCCCTATTAAGGGGGTGCCATTAGCACTGCCCTTCAAAATCCTATGTTTGTATGATTTCAATTAAATCATAAGATTTCAAATCCGAACAATCCAACAAACCAAACATGAGATTGGAATGAATTTGAAATCCAAATCCTCCATATCTATTCCATTCTCACAAACCAAACGGGACCTAAGATAAATGAGAAAAATGGGAACTGGAAAGCAGAACGAGGGAAATGAGAATTAATGAGGACTCGATCCGATCGTAACTATATTTTTAGGTTCTCCTCAAAAAGTCGTCATATTAAGTGGACATTGTTGATGTCTGTCCATTAATTTCAAAAATTCAGCTCATCCCTAATCATATCTTTCCAAAATAATCGTCCAAACTTGTTTTTTTAAGAAGTTGAACAGTTCGAGTCTAACGAATCAGCTCATCTCTCCACAATTCTAATGCGTACATAGATATGTAGTACGGATCCATATAATAAACCGATATTAGTTCAAAATATCAAGTCTAATACATAAGTTTATATCTTTTAAACGTGATATAACAAAACCATCTACCTTTTTTTTAAAGATTTATCATAATTAGAAAACATCAAAATATTGGAATTTCTTTGAAAGAAAGATATAGACTACATATTGGTCTTCACAAATCACAAAAGAAAAGGAGTCTTTATTGCCACGCTGTGTCAGTAGCACCACCACATGAGAGAGAGATATAAGATACACAGATATATATATATAGATAGATATATATATATATAGAGAGAGAGAGAGAGAGAGAGAGAGAGAGAGAGAGAGAGAGAGAGTAGGTTGGGTTGAAAGAGGGTAGAACAAAAAGGTAAAAAAAAAAAAGAAATGAGAGAGAGTAAAGGGAAGATAGATAGATGCCCCCACTCTTCAATCTCAACAAAATCGTCTGCGAAACAACATTAAAAAGAAGGAAAAATCCCTCGCTTTTGATTTGTGTTGAGACGAATTTACATTATACATTCGATTATGTCTTAATAAAGGAGAGAGAAACAAGAGAGAGAGAGAGATCTGAGCTGATTCAGCTGCCTGTGAAGAACAAGAAGAAGAACAAGAAGATGATCCATAGAAAGACCTTTTGGAAGCTTTTTTAGTCTTCATTCAAGAAAACCCATCAATTTCTTGGATCGATTCAACTCCTCCAGGTATCTTCCTGCTAATTTTCTTGAAAAAGTTGTAATCTTTAGCAGAAAAGAGATTGACCCAATATGGAGCTTCTGCTTTTTTTTCTATTTCGAATTTCCGATTCGAAATATGCGGTGATTTCTTGATTAAAGAATCTAGAACTTAAAGAGCAAGATGGATCTGTTTTCTTGGTTGAATTCTAACTTATTTGATGGTATGGTTTAGTGAAATCTGTTCTTTATTTCTTGTGTTTTCAGATTGAGCAAGATAGTTTCACCTATTATCCTGAGGAAGATTTGTAGATTATAGAAATTTCTAGAGATATTTGGTTGATTTTGTAAGAAAATGTGTGAATCCTTAACTTAGATTTCTAAGAGCACAAAGATTCAAATGGAAGATTGGTCCAAATATTCCCATAGTCCTGCTCATTTGGCTGTTGTACGAGGTGACCATTTGGCCCTCAAGAACATTATCTCGGCTCTCCCTCGATTGGCGAAGGCCGGGGATGTTACAACGGAGGCAGAATCGTTAGCTGCTGAGCTGGATGCGGATGCTGTTTCGGCTGTGATTGATCGCCGTGATGTTCCATGGCGCGAAACCCCTCTCCATCTTGCAGTTCGTCTCAAAGATCCGGTTTCTGCCGACATATTAATGGCGGCTGGTGCGGATTGGAGTCTTCAAAACGAGCATGGATGGAGTGCTCTTCAAGAAGCCGTTTGTAATCGAGAAGAGAACATAGCCATGATCATTGCTCGGCACTACCAGCCGCTTGCGTGGGCCAAGTGGTGTCGTAGGCTCCCTCGAATCGTAGCTTCGGCTGCTCGTATTCGTGATTTCTATATGGAGATAACTTTCCATTTCGAGAGTTCGGTTATTCCTTTTATAGGAAGGATTGCCCCCTCGGATACTTACCGGATTTGGAAACGTGGGTCGAATCTACGTGCCGATATGACGCTCGCTGGCTTTGACGGATTCCGAATTCAGCGGTCGGATCAAACGTTCATGTTTCTTGGAGATGGGTATTTAAGTGGAGATGGTAACACGTCTTTGCCTCCAGGTTCGTTGATCGTTCTTTCTCATAAAGAGAAAGAAATCACAAATGCTTTAGAGGGAGCTGGTGCACAGCCTTCAGAAGCTGAAGTTGCTCATGAAGTAGCATTAATGTCCCAAACTAACATGTACAGGCCTGGAATTGATGTAACTCAGGCCGAGCTTGTACCTCATTTGAATTGGAGACGGCAAGAGAGGACGGAGGTCGTGGGACCTTGGAAAAGTAAGGTCTACGATATGCTTCATGTGATGGTGAGCGTGAAATCAAGACGGGTCCCAGGTGCCATGACCGATGAGGAGCTCTTTTCCACAAACGATGAACGGGGAGTAGGACAAGGAGGTGAGAATGACGAATATGATGACGTGTTGACACCTGAAGAAAAGATGCAATTGGATTCTGCGCTTCGAATGGGAAACTCAGACGGGATTTGTGAGGATGAAGAACGCCATGAAAATGGGAATGCGGGTTCATCTGCAAATTCTGAATCAAATGGTTTAAATAAAGATAAAAAAGGTTGGTTCGGTTGGAACAAGAAAGGTTCAAAAACTGGTGGCGATGATCCTGAGGATTCAAAGATTCTAAAGAAGTTCTCGAAACTGAACGATAGTCAAAAGTCTTCATCTGAAACCCATGGGGACGACAATGGGGAGTCTAAAAAGGGAAAAGATAAGAGCGGAAAGAAGAAAAAGAAAAAGGGATCTGCAACAGAGGCTAAGCACGAGAGCGAATATAAAAAAGGGTTACGACCTGTTTTGTGGTTGACACCAGATTTCCCTTTGAAAACGGACGAGCTTTTGCCTTTACTCGACATTCTAGCCAACAAGGTGAAGGCTATAAGAAGATTAAGGGAGCTTCTAACCACCAAACTACCTCATGGCATGTTTCCGGTTAAGGTATTATACGTTTTTCCCAATCTCTTGCTTTATTACTTTGTTTATAATGTGGATATAGATTTTTTTGTCTTCAATAGAATATTCACTCTTTAAGGTAGATGTCAGGTCTGCATACATCTTATAGGCTGATTGGTTGGTTTTAATTAAGTTCCGTGTGTATAAAGCTGTTTGTGTGGATTAATCTGTCTACATAGATTGAGAAGGTTTTTGTTTGGAAGGGTTTTTTAATAGATAGAAGAAGCTTGTTTTTAATTGGGAGGGGCATGTTTGTAAAAAACTTGGCTTTATGCATAAAGCCCCCCCCCCCCCCTAGAAGCTTATTGAATAAGCGAGTTTCTATATCATTAGGCCACTACCATATAGTCATGTATAGCTGACCAAATAAGCTATTAAGCTTACTAAACTGCTCACAAACAGACCCTTACCCTCCCTGGACTCTACCTCAGGTGGATACACCGGATTCGTTTGGTTTAGTAGAATATTTACTTTACATATGCATAACCTTGTTACTTAAGTAGTTGTTTTTGTTTAGAGTTGTATAGTATTTTTCAGGACTTGCCACCCAAAAGTCAAATGTGGACTCTTTTCTTTAGGTACAGGGAGTCGTATATGAATTTAAATTGTTAATATCATTGAGGAATGGTAGAAAACATATATATGAGTAGGGTCAGGTTCAGGTGAAAACTGCAAAAAGATGAAAAACTAGGGAACACCCTGGTATCGGTTCATCTGGACGGTGTGCACACATGCATACAAGTAATTTGTAAGCAATTTGTCCGGTATGCACACGTGCATAACCAAAAAACAGCTTCACTTATTTGTATGTACATGTGCATACCGTCCAAATAATGGTTACCAGAATGTTCCTCAGTTTTTCATTTTTTTTGGGGGTTTTTCCCTGAACATCCCTTCATATGTATAAATATATGTGTATGTATACATATGATATACAAACTTGTCATCTTAAGCCGCACATCGAAAAACATTGTGTAAGATCCCACATTGGTTAATGAGGGGAACTAAGATTGCCTTACAAGGGACTGTGTAGCTCCTCTATTAGATGTGTTTAAAACCGTGATAAAGTGGACAATATCTGGTATGGTTTTCATGGGAGGTTGGTTACAAGTTGCTTTTATGTACGATAATGATACAAATATTACAAAACTGAAAGTATAAACAACGTCTATCTACCATTGCAGATCGCGATTCCAATCGTGCCGACAATCAGAGTTCTTGTAACATTTACAAAATTCGAAGAGCTACAATCTTCATCAGAGGAATTCTCAACCCCACTCTCCAGCCCAGCTCATTTCCAGGATGCCAAATCCAAAGAACCAGAAGGGTCAAGTTCATGGATCTCGTGGATGAAAGGAAGCAACGGAGGTCAATCAAACGACCCCGAGGTTAGCAGCTTTGGAGACGAAGCAGATCCGTTTAGCATACCGTCTGACTACACATGGGTTGATGCGAACGAGAAGAAACGCCGGATGAAGGCCAAGAAAGCCAAGATCAAGAAACACAAGAAGCAATCAGCGGCTAGAAATCCTGAAAACGGTGGGCGCAGAGTAGGCGAAGATTTGGAATAAAACAATTGGATCATGTTCTTCTTCATCAGGTTTGAATGAGGATGGGATGTTGATTTAGGGTTTAGGGTATTGAAATTGAGCAAGAAGGTAAGATGTTGGTTGTTCCATTGGTGTAAGTTGTAATTTTGTATTTCAAGTTTGAAAATGTGATGGTGAAGATTTAATTGGGTTTTGGAGGGTAGAAGAATCTGCTTTCCATGCTTGGTTAATTCTCTTATGAAAACATGGTGTATCAATATTTAATTTTTTTTATATTATTATTATTATTATTTGCATTTTCTTTCAAAACCCCTCAAGAAAACACACATTTAGAAGTGACGTTTATCTTACCAGATGAATATGGTAATAATTAAAAATCTTACCCGATAAGAGCAAAACAAGGACCGAAAGTCTTACCCGGTAAGTGACGGTGAGTCGTATAGTATTTTTCAGGACTTGCCACCCAAAAGTCAAATGTGGACTCTTTTCTTTAGGTACAGGGAGTCGTATATGAATTTAAATTGTTAATATCATTGAGGAATGGTAGAAAACATATATATGAGTAGGGTCAGGTTCAGGTGAAAACTGCAAAAAGATGAAAAACTAGGGAACACCCTGGTATCGGTTCATCTGGACGGTGTGCACACATGCATACAAGTAATTTGTAAGCAATTTGTCCGGTATGCACACGTGCATAACCAAAAAACAGCTTCACTTATTTGTATGTACATGTGCATACCGTCCAAATAATGGTTACCAGAATGTTCCTCAGTTTTTCATTTTTTTTGGGGGTTTTTCCCTGAACATCCCTTCATATGTATAAATATATGTGTATGTATACATATGATATACAAACTTGTCATCTTAAGCCGCACATCGAAAAACATTGTGTAAGATCCCACATTGGTTAATGAGGGGAACTAAGATTGCCTTACAAGGGACTGTGTAGCTCCTCTATTAGATGTGTTTAAAACCGTGATAAAGTGGACAATATCTGGTATGGTTTTCATGGGAGGTTGGTTACAAGTTGCTTTTATGTACGATAATGATACAAATATTACAAAACTGAAAGTATAAACAACGTCTATCTACCATTGCAGATCGCGATTCCAATCGTGCCGACAATCAGAGTTCTTGTAACATTTACAAAATTCGAAGAGCTACAATCTTCATCAGAGGAATTCTCAACCCCACTCTCCAGCCCAGCTCATTTCCAGGATGCCAAATCCAAAGAACCAGAAGGGTCAAGTTCATGGATCTCGTGGATGAAAGGAAGCAACGGAGGTCAATCAAACGACCCCGAGGTTAGCAGCTTTGGAGACGAAGCAGATCCGTTTAGCATACCGTCTGACTACACATGGGTTGATGCGAACGAGAAGAAACGCCGGATGAAGGCCAAGAAAGCCAAGATCAAGAAACACAAGAAGCAATCAGCGGCTAGAAATCCTGAAAACGGTGGGCGCAGAGTAGGCGAAGATTTGGAATAAAACAATTGGATCATGTTCTTCTTCATCAGGTTTGAATGAGGATGGGATGTTGATTTAGGGTTTAGGGTATTGAAATTGAGCAAGAAGGTAAGATGTTGGTTGTTCCATTGGTGTAAGTTGTAATTTTGTATTTCAAGTTTGAAAATGTGATGGTGAAGATTTAATTGGGTTTTGGAGGGTAGAAGAATCTGCTTTCCATGCTTGGTTAATTCTCTTATGAAAACATGGTGTATCAATATTTAATTTTTTTTATATTATTATTATTATTATTTGCATTTTCTTTCAAAACCCCTCAAGAAAACACACATTTAGAAGTGACGTTTATCTTACCAGATGAATATGGTAATAATTAAAAATCTTACCCGATAAGAGCAAAACAAGGACCGAAAGTCTTACCCGGTAAGTGACGGTGACAACTCTTACCACGGTTGGTGCTTACCGGGTAAATTGTTGCATATGATGTTTTCATGGACTAAAATCTTACCCTGTAAGTAAGCGATAGTGTTGAATTTCACGGGTAAGTGATTAGGTAAACGGCCCCTTAAATGCTCTTTGTTCACAAATAAATTTTGAAACATAACTTGTGTTATCACCATGGCGGGATATGGTGTGAAATGCGTCTTTGTAGTTATGAAAAGGCTTATAGCGTTTCTGTAAGGTGTACCATGGCGTGTGTTTTTTTTAACAAGACGTGATTTATTAATTTTTTTATTTTTTAGCTTTTGTGTTTTTATATTTTAACTTTAGATTTTACACTTTTATAGATTTATCTATTCATATCGGTCACAGTTTCACAAATTCAAAACATCATGGACTTCCATTTAATACGAAGTTGTAAAATTAACTTTCTAAGTTATATTTTAAATATTTAATCAAAGACAGTGAAGTAAGGGAAAAGAACGGAAAATAAAAGAAAAAGAAGAAAATAATTTTTTAATTTGGGAGGAACGTTTTAGATGAAAAATCAACATTATTTTCCTTCCTTTATACCAACTTAAAAAAACCCGAAGAACACAACAGTTTTTCTTCCCTCCATAAAAGAGGACTCGAAAAACACAGCGTAAGTGACGGTGGTTTAACATGTGAACGTCAAGCACAAGCGTCGTTTCTAATGCAACAAGTACAAAGAGAGATACAAAACGTTCTTCAAAATATATCGAACGAAAAGTATGGAGGTAACAAGTAGTCGATTTCTGATGATCAAACAAGTCATTTTTCAAATAGTGCCATTACAGAAACTAAAGGGAAAACTTGAACAAAAACTACAAGATTTTAAGTGCATGAGATAAAACATACATGAATATATTGTTCTAGTATCTCCCTCGGCCCCTACTGAACCCACCGCCACGACCACCACCACCACCACGAAACCCACCGCCTCTACCACCTCTTGGAGCACCTCTACCACGGAAAGAACCACCTCTACCACCTCCTCTTCCACCCCCACGTCCACCACCTCTTCCACCAGTGCTTGCCCCCCTGTAACATCAAAGTTTAAAAAAGAACCAAAATCCCACATAATACAAGAAGCCTGATAACACACAGCAGCCAACAGACACGATAATAATAATTCCTGATGACTCTACCATATCCCTACATTTAACTAATATGCAAAGCAATTTCTAACCAATTGCAAGACCAAACTCTTTTTATGTGACATCATGTACAACTCCATTACATTACTCTACAAAAGAGCCCATGAGGGGAGAAGGTAGGTCCAACATATGTTGATGAGAAACTATCCAAGTCAAACCGATGTGGTACTCTGACATGCCCCTCCAACTAAAGCTAGATGCATACGGATTGCCCACACAATGTCGAGTCCCTAGAGAGGTAAGACTTTGGGTCTGATACCATGTGAAGATATATAGAACCCTATTGGAATACTGTCTAAAAGAGCCCTTGAGAAGAGAATGTTCCAAAATATATTGAGCATAAATTGTTCAAGACTAACCCGATGTGAGACTCTTAAGATTGAATATGTATTTCTTCTTCCTGTGAGCTTCTTACCGTTCAATGACATTCAACATACATACATATGGTATGCAAGGTTTTATGAGAGAATCGGAAATCAAATTCTTGATGCTCGATCAAGAAGCATTCAAGAATCAGATGATGACCTTCCTTAAAGTAATTAGCTACATCAAAACTATTGCACATTTGCAATAAAAACTAGCTGCGCCTGCTACAATGACAGAAAATTCAGGATATGACTAATGGGGTGCTTGTTCCTTTCAGAAATGGAAATGCCGGGGAATGAGTTTCATTACCCCCAATATGTTGAGGAATGCTTTATTTGCCTGGTAAGGACTCATTCCATTGCATTAAATCAGATACCATTAATGATTTCCATTCCCCAACCCACTCACCCCTAATTACCCCAACCAAGCACCCCCTTCGTAAATGCAAGTTTATAAGTAATATTTTAAAGAACAAGTAAAAATGAACATACTTTGGCTGTGGAAGAAATCTGGCTAGTGGCAATAGCTTCATTGGATCAATGTAGAATTTATCACCTGCAGCATATGAAGTTGCTACAATACCATCCATCATTTTAACTGAGAAGAACTACAAATTAAGCAGAAAGAGAACCCATATCAGTTAGAAACCTAATTGACAAAATTAACAAAACAGGCAGCTTTAGCTAACAACATCAAAACAAAATGGTGAAGTCTGACTTACAGATTCATTGATAGGACCAAATATTTCATCAACTTTGCCAATCTGAGTTTTGTTTTGAAGGTAGATTGGGGCATTAAAGTAGGGTATTTTCTCGTTACTGAGCTTTGTCACTGCATCTCCCTCACAAGCATGAACAAATGACGAAACCTCTGCAAAATTAGAATATATCCAAATTAAAATATCTACAAGTAATAGAACCAAATGATCAGATTGCCAAAAGCATACAGTTCGATTATTTGAAAAAGGAACAGCCTCAAAGCAACAAATAATCGGCGTATTTGCAATCAAATCTGTAAGGTTCCTGTGTAGCTTTGAATGTGCTGTGTGTATGAAAGGGAGATACAAGACGTTTACAAACCTACAACTTGCTCAGGGGGGCCATCATTAAACCGGTCACCACCAAAACG